AGAGCACAAAGGGAGAGCGGACACAAGGTGAAGGTGATCCGCACCGACAACGGGGGAGAGTTCATTGGCAATGAGTTTGAGGCATTGCTGAAGAAGAAGGGCATTCAGCATCAGCTCACAGTGCCCTACAACCCTCAGCAGAATGGCGTGGCTGAGCGGTTCAACCGGACCCTGCAGGAAGGTGCTCGCACTCTCCTTGGGCGTGCAGGGCTGCCGGATCCGTTTTGGGTGACTGCACTGAGGCAGGTCGCTCTTGTGAAGAACAGGGTGCTGGCGACTGTGGGGGACAAGCAGTGGGTCCCCTACACCAAGTGGTATGGGAGTGCACCTGCAGTCAACATGCTGAGAGCCTACGGCTGCATGGTGGTGTTTCATGTGCCGAAGGAGAAGAGGGGAAAGCTGGAAGCTTCTGGGAGATGGGGTGTGCACTTGGGGCTTGCTAAGGATCACAAGGGCTGGTTGATATGGGACTTGACCAGCCAGCAGCTGACTGTGTCAAGGGATGTGAAGTTCCTTGAGTCCTTGTACTACAAGGAGTGGAAGCAGCAGCAGCAGAAGCTTCCTACTACACCGCTGATCATTGAGGCCGATGAGGTGCAGCGGCCTTCGAGACTGGTAGAGGATTCTGTCTCAGAGGAGGAGATCTCAAGAGTGACGGAGGATGGGGGAGAACCTGAGGTGGAGGAGCAGCAGCAGCAGCAGCAGCAGAAGCAAGATGCTCCACCACGTGACCAACGTCCGCATGACTGTCCTATGAGGGATGTGCGCCCTCCTAACAGGCTCACTTATCCTAGTTTTTGCAAGCCAAAGGTGGTACCGGCTGGGAGTGTGGCTGAGCAGATGGATGAGGATGAGATAGCCTACTGCTATGGGGCTGTGTTGAGATGGTTTGGAGCATAGTTCTATGAGAGAGATGCTCCAGAGGGGTGGTGCAGATTTGAGTAGAATGAAGATGTTGGAAGTGGGATGTTGGAAGGAGATGATTGTCCATTGAGATGAGTGTTGGAAGAACATTGGAAGGGCATGAAGCTTGCTGGAATGAGTGTGCATTGAGGGTGCATGCATGAACTATGACATGTAGGATGATGGTTGGCAGCCAGAGGGGGAGTTTGTTATGTGATGCTATCATTTGCATTCACGTCTGTCTGCCTCCCATCATATGTTCGTGTGTTGCATGCGTTGTGTGAGCGTGTGCAAGAATTTGTGTTTGGTGTGGTTTGGATTTTCTGAGTGTGTGTGAATGTTATTTGGCCTGAGCAGATATCTAAAGTGACTTCCCTGCTCGAGAGCTTTCCGTCGAGCCAAGAATCGTTGTGATCGGAGCACGGATGAGAAAGTTACAAACGGTTCAAGTTCGTATGCTTTTGATATTTCGATGCGACGACTTTGGGCATTTTTGGAGTGACTCTATATGGGGTATAGACTTTTGGGGGTTGGGAAAATCCGTGATTCTACTGTAGATTGCTGCCAAATGGTTGGGAGAAGCCAAATCAGGTTGGCAAGTGTGGCCAAGTTGGGTGAGGTGGATGGCATGGGTTGGGAAAGTGACAAGAGTCAAAGTTGGGGTTCCTATAGGGACGAAATTGTGTGCTTATGGGGTTTCCTTGGTTGGGGACTCCAATGGGACATTTCCTCTCGTCCTCCTCTTCCCTCCTACCTAGTTGATTGCTACTCTAATCCTCTTTGTGGCAACTTGTGATAACTACTGTGATTGAGTTAAGTTGCCACGGCAGCTTACCCCCTAGTGCGTCGAAATTCATAACTCGAGTTATACTCCATCTTTGGATGCGATCCGGTCTACGGTCTCCGCCAGGCGCCTCGTGAGTGGCACGACACACTAAGGACTGCGCTCGCGGCTCTCGGGTTTGCTCCGTCCACTGCTGACCCGTCGCTGTTTCTGTGCACCGACACTTCGCTGCCGCCGTTCTACATCCTCGTGTACGTCGACGACTTGGTCTTTGCCACTGCTGACACTGAGGCACTTGCCCTTGTGAAGTCGGAGCTGCAGAAGAGACACACCTACACTGAAGTGGGTAAGCTGCGCAGCTATCTTGGCTTGCAGATCACCCGGGACCGAGCACGCCGCACCATCACCCTGACTTAGTCACACATGGTGCACCAGGTCCTTCAGCGCTTTGGCTTCCAGTTCTCCTCACCTCAGTCCACTCCTCTGCCTACCATCTTCGGACGAGTCCGTAGAGCCGAGTGGTCAGTCAGCAGGTAGGTGAGCCAGCGTACCTCCTATGCAGCCATGGCTCCTGCGTAGATCTCAGCCTCACAACTGGAGTTGAGAACAGAAGACGAGCGAGTAGAACGCCAAGAAACAAAGCCGGAGCCAAGGCTGAAGGTGTAACCCTGAGACGACCGTTGCGTAGCCAGGTCGTCAACCCAAGAGGCGTCTGAGTGTCCAGTGAGGACAACGTCACCCCGTCCTCCAAGCACCAGCCCCATGCCTGATGTACTGCACAAGTAGCGTAACACCCTCTTAGCAGCCTCCCAGTGCTCTCGCCGGTGTCTCCCAAGTGCAGCGTAGCGAGCCAGGATGCTAAGAGGGTACGCAAGGTCAGGTCGAGTGCAGGTCATCAGGTACATGAGGCAGCCCACAAGCTCTGGATACGAGCGGCCTCGTTCTCCTCCAGGTCTGTACGTCGACAACAAGGTCGCCATTGCCTTGTGTCAGGAGCACAGACTGGAGCACAGAACGAAGCACATTGCTCTGCGTTACTTCTTTGCTCAAGAGTTGCAGCAGCGTGGTCAGCTTCATCTTGCTTACGTGGCCACTCGGGCCAACACAGCTGATATATTCACCAAGGCACTTCCACCTGGTGATCATCAGCGTCTCTGTACTGCTTTGGGGCATGTGCCTGCTTTTACGCACTTGCTCACTGCTTGACCTTGCTTGTACTGTGATCTATATATATTCCTGCTTATTTACACTTGTTAGGCTGTGACCACTGTATTGCTTGCTTTGTTCTGTATATCACTACATGTGAACTGGCCTTGTGGCCATTTGCTTGTGCTCTGAATGTGTGGTGACTTTGTGATCCACCCTGAGCTTGCTTTGCCTTTCTTGACTGGTCTTGTGACCACTAGTTCTCCCCCACTCTTCCTATGGGGGTATGTCAAACTTTATGTTGTTTATATGGTGTAGGCTATAGTGGACTAGCCCATAAAGGGTACAACCCAGTTCTAGGGTTAGTACTTGTACCCACATTTCCTTTCAATGCATTCATTCTAACCTAGATTTCCAACATTTCGTTCCCCGCATCCCCGCTCCCACTTCCCCCGCCTTCCCCGCCTACGGAAACAAAAGGTGGAGAGAGGGAGACGGCGGCGGAGAGGCAGGCTGGCGCGAGGGCAGCGGAGAGCCTTGCGAAGGCGCGCAGCTACGGGGGATCGAGGAGGCGCATGGCGAGGGAAGCGCGCAGCTACGGGGAGGCGCATGAGGACATGGCGGAAAGTGCGGAGGGAGGGGAATGGCGCGGACGGCGAACGCGCGAGCGAAAATAAGGGCAAAGGCCTCGGCGGAGATGGGTTTTGGTTGGGGAATAGCGCGAAGGGTTGGGTGGTGGCGGAGTGCGATAAAAGACTGAAGTGGCTCCACGAGTGTAATGCCCATGGCTATTCTAATGGCGGTTACAACGCTCTTATAATGATCTAATACAAAATAGTAGCCCCAACTAGCCTCAATAGCCTTGGAGGTGAAGATCTTCTTGATGCCTTTGATAAAAAAACACTTGGAGTAGTAGTATAGGGAAGCTTGTGAGAGAGCCAAAAAGACTTAGCCAAATAATCACATTTCCAATTGTTTAGTTGGAGTGGGAGGTGAAGAATGAGCTTGGAAGCCCAAACCCCCTCAATACACCCCTTCGGGAACTCTCCCAACCACGGTTTCCATGGTGGGATGGTTCCTAGGCTTGGAGCCTACGTGGCAATTAGTTGGGTTGGAAAAACCCAACCTAGAAACATTTGTATGGTTGTGTTTTAGATAGAATAGATTGTAACACTGAATTGGCAGTTTCTGATTGGTTGAAAATCCAACTTTCAACATTCCACTTTGATGGGTTGGAATTTTCCAAACTTAGTGGTTGAGGTTTGGAAACCACAACCCTATCTTCCCTCCCAATCCAACCTTCAATCACTCGTAGCCCAATTTATATCGAGAGCCATCTCGACAAATGCCTTAGAGTGCTAGGTCGATAGTGAGTTGGGCTAGAAGTAGGCAATACGTTACAACGGGTCACTTTTGGATAAAAATGTGTCTTGGAAACGAAATGGGAAGAAGATGGAGATGTGGGGTATCGATCCCCATACCTCTCGCATGCATCTGAGCTACATCCCCATGGTCGAGGCTTGCCGCATGAGGTTTGTCACAAATGGCTTGTCGCATGAGGCTTGTCGCATGGAATTAAAGCTTTGGCTTTACTGTTTGTGTTTGTACAGTAGCCAAATAGATTTCGCCACAACAAAACCGAATGCCCTTGGCGAGGGGGCTGGAGAAAATTTGAAGCCAACCTGCATTTAGGGTTTCAAACACGAGGAATTCTCTCGTCACCAAATACTGAGAAAGGCCTAGATTGAACTACATGGGAGTCGAGGAGGCGGCGAGCAGAACAGTGCAATCACTCAAATAAATGCTGATGGTAAGGGAACATGTACATTATAGGCTTCAGCGCTAGCATCTATCGAGCCCGCCAGCTCCCTCTAGCTTCAGCGCCGTCTGCAATCGGACGGGCCGCCGCGAGACATTTGTCGAGCGCGCCTCGCCGGCGAGATTCTTGCATCACCTGCAGCTCGCGACACCCGCTTAGCGCGTCACCCGCTTCTCGGACATCCCTCCGCGCGCCTCACCCGCTTAGCGCCTCACCCGCTGCTTGCCTCAACTTTAGCGCGTCACACGCTTCTCGTCTAACTCGCTGCTCGCCTCACTTAGCACTTCACCGGCTTCTCACCTCACCTTCTGCTGGTCTCACCTGCTGCTCGCGTCCCTTACTGCGCGAATGTCCCTAGACTCGCCTCAAATTCCGTGCGCGCCTCGAAACGTCTCCCTTTTCCTATCTTCCCGGATCGCTCTCACCTCACCTTGCCCCTATTTCTCCCCAGCTAGCCCTCCTTTTACCCTCTTTTCCCCCTCGATTCCCAAGGAGCGTAGCCTCATTTTCCCCTCTGCTTGCCCTCCTTTCCCCACCTTCTCCCCCTTATTTTCCCCCTTTGTTCCTCTCAATTCCCTCCCTGCTCCCTTTCAAGTCCCCCCTTGCTCCCTCTCCATTCCCCCTTCTCCTGCTCATTCCCCCCCTTCTTCCTCACGTTTCCCCCCATTCTCTCTCTCCTTTCCCCCACTTCCCCCTCTCATTTTCCCCCTTTCTTTCTCACATTTCCCCCCCTGCTCCCTCTCATTCCCCCCCCCTTCTCCCGCTCATTTCCCCCCTTCTTCCTCTCAGTTCCCTTCAACCTTCCTCTCAAGTCCCCCCTTGCTCCCTCTCATTTCCCCCCTTGCTCCCTCTCATTTCCCCCCTTGCTCCCTCTCATTTCCCCCCTTCTCCCTCTCATTTCCCCCCTTCTCCTGCTCATTTCCCCCCCTTCTTCCTCACGTTTACCCCTCTTCTCCCTCTCCTTTCCCCCACTTCTCCCCCTCATTTTCCCCCTTTCCTCCTCATTTCCCCCCCGCTCCCTCTCATTTCCCCCCTGGTCCCTCTCATTTTCCCCCTGCTCACCCTCACTTCCCCCCTTTATCCCTCTTCATTTCCCCGTCTCTTTCCCCTCATTTCCCCCTCTCTGTCTACTCATTTCTCCCTCTCCTTCCCCACATTTCCCTTCTCCGTCCCCTCCTTTCCCCCTCTCCTTCCCCTCCTTCCCCCTCTCCTTCCCCTCATTCCCCCCTCTTTCCCCTCATTTCCCCCTCTCCTTACCCTCATTTCCCCCTCTCCTTACCCTCATTTCCCCTCTCCTTACCCTCATTTCCCCCTCTCCTTACCCTCATTTCCCCCTTTCCTTCCCCTCATTTCGCCTCCTTCCCCTCATTTCGCCCTCCTTCCCCTCATTCACCCTTTCCTTACCCTCATTTCCCCCTGTGTGTCCCCTCATCTCCCCCTCTCGTTTCTCGCATTTCCCCTACTCTGTCCCCTCGTTTCCCTGTCTCCCCTCATTTCATCCTCTCGTTCCACAAAATCCCCCCCCTCGTTTCCCACATTTCCCTCTCTCCCTCCCCTCTTTTCCCTCTCTCCGTCTCCTCCTTTACCCCTCCTCCTCATTTTCCCCTCTCCCTCCCCTCATTTCCCCATCACCTTTCCCTCATTTCCCCCTCTCCTTTCCCTCGTTACCCCCCCTCCTTTCCCTCATTTCCCCCTCCTTCCCCCCATTTCCCTCGAGGAGGGTCCGGGTGAGTGCAAAACTGTGTTTGCAAAACTGTGGGAAGATATGTTGCCGCGTCTGCTTATGAATGTGCTCGTCAGCTCGACAGTTGTCAAACAATCAGCTTTTGCACCTCCCACCACCCACTGAGTTCAAGCCTCTCACGTGTTACCCTGTCACCACTGCTGCATATCTTCCCTACATGCCTCTCTCCCTCTCCTCTCTCCGTGCATTGTTCTACCCTGCCATGCCCTTCCCTTGCCTTCTTTACCCTGCCTGCCCCACCCTGCCGGCAGGTGAGTGCGCTCATGCTGCTGGCGCGCGTGAGGGAGCTGCAGCGCCCTCACATGCTGCACATTCCTTCCCCTCCTCCCCCCTTTGCTTACCCTTCCTTACTTCCCCCTGTACTATCCTTGCTCCCCCTTAGCTTCCCCTCCCTTCCCCTCCAGCTTACCCCCTGTTTCTTTTGCATCTGCCCTTGTCTTTTTTTTTTTTTTTTTTTCCACAGCACAACACGAAGGACATCAGGCCTTCTCATTTTGGGTGCTGCTCTTTGCAGCTTAGTGAAACCAAATTATTAGGCAGGAAGTTCCAGCTTGTGTGTGCCGTCAGCGTATCCTTCAAGTGATTTGATAGCATGCCATAATACATCAGTATATTTAAAATGAGCGAGAGCTGTACTTAGAAACAACTTCCCTTCCTTCCTTGCGTACAACATCCTTGCATGATGCATATGGGCACACCATAACATTGTATGCGGCATGTGACGTGTCGTACGCAACTCAAGATACATGGAGGGTTCTCCTCTGCTCTAGCTGGTCAGAATTTGCTCAACACTTGTGTCTGATGCTGCTCCCAATAAGCTGCCTAACTCTGCTGAACCTGAATTTGTCCTGCTCGAAGCAGTAACAAAGGGAGAAGGTATGGGAAAATAAGATGGAAAGGTGGAGAGGCAGGAACGGAGGATACGAAGGTGGGACGGAGAGGTGGGGGGACATGAATGGGAGATGGGGAAGAGAGGGAAAAATAGGGAAAGGCAGGAAAATTGCAGAAAAGTGGGAAGGGCAGGCAGCGAGGGGAAATGGGGGAGAGGTAGGACGAGGTCTGAAAAGAGAGAAGGCAGCAGGAGAGGGGAAAAGAGGGAAAGGCAGGAGGAGAGGGAAAAGGAGCGGAAGGGCAGTGCAGGGAGGGGAAAGGCAGTGCAGGGAGGGGAAAGGCAGTGCAGGGAGGGGAGAGTACTTCGCTAGGCGACGGAAGGCCGAGAAGGGAAGGGAGGCGCGGCCTCTCACTAGGTGACGAATGAGTGGGAGAAAGGGGGGACATGACAGGGAGCAGGGGGCTCATGAGAGGGAGAAAAAGGGGGGAATGAGGGGATGGGGAAATGGGGGGGCGGGAAGGGGAAATGGGGAGGCGGGAAGGGGAAATGGGGAGGCGGGAAGGGGTAATGGGGAGCGAGAAGGGGAATTGGGGAGGCAGGAGGGGAAAAGGGGGGGCGGGAAGGGAGCAGGAAAGGTATGGGATGGGGCTTGGAGGGGGATGGGAGAGTACCACAGGGGGGTATCACAAGGGATGGAAGGGTATGGCGATGAAAGGTTATGGCAGGGGAAGGGGAAATGGGGAGCGGAAAGGGGAAATGGGGAGCGGAAAGGGGAAATGGGGAGGCGGGATGGGGAAATGGGGAGGCGGGAAGGGGAAATGGGGAGGCGGGAAGGGGAAATGGGGAGGCGGGAAGGGGAAATGGGGAGGCGGGAAGGGGAAATGGGGAGGCGGGAAGGGGAAGAATTTCTCCATCATACTCTGAGGGTTGACTCGCGTGTGCCTCAATATGGTTCGCTTCGCTTCTGGTGCGATGTTTCGACACGACAGAGGCGCTTAAGATTGTTAGAATGAAGAATGGATGATGCATTGATGTTGGTTGGGGTACATATAGCTAACCCTAAGTTTTGTACCCCCTAAGACAAACCTCACTATAGGCTACAACATTTGACACACCCCCATAGCCTAAGTGAGGGGTGTCTAGCAGAACCACACGAGTACGGTCACAAGACCAGTCCAAGAAACGAAGCTCAGGGTGGATCACAACGTCACCACACAGTCTGAGCACAAACAACAGTGGCCACAAGGCCAGTCCAAGAAGTAACAGAGGTATATAGAAAGCAAAGTAAACAGTACACTCAAGTCTAAGCAACACGAGAACCAGTGTCAACAAGGCCTAACTGCACACAGCACCTCTGGTGGTCACAAGGCGGAAGCGCCTTGGTGAAGATGTCTGCAGTGTTGGCCTCGGACTCCACAAACTCAAAGCGAGCCTGTCCACGCCTCTGCAACTCTCGCAGAAGAAAGTACCTGACGTGAATGTGCTTCACTCTGCTCTCCAGTCGTGGCTCTCGACAAAGGAGAATAGACGCCTTGTTGTCAGTGAACAAGGTCGGTGCAGAGCTCGGCCGCTCACCAAGGTCGGTGAGCAAGAAGGTCAACCAACGCAGCTCCTGTGCCGCCATGGCACCAGCGTAGATCTCAGCCTCAGCTGTAGAGGTCGAGACCGAAGAGGAGCGCGTGGACCGCCAGGAAACAGCTCCAGAACCCAGGCTGAAACAGTACCCCTGAGTAGACCTGTGAGTCTCAGCGTCGTCAGCGTAAGAGGAGTCACAGTGACCAGTAAGTACGACAGACTGCTGCCCTCCAAGAACTAGCCCCACGCCTGACGTCGTCGCTAGGTACTTCGCCACCCTCACAGCTGCTGTCCAGTGAACAGGACGGTGTCTCCTTGGCGCAACAAAGCGCGCAAGAACGCTGAGAGGGAAGGCGAGGTCCGGGCGAGTACAAGTCATCAGGTACATGAGGCAACCCACAAGCTCTGCGTAGGGACCACTAGGCTCGAACGGCTCGTCAGGAAAGGGTCCAGTGAGTCTGTGGTCAACAGCAAGAGGTGTGCGCTGTACTGTGGAGTGCTGAAGCCCGAACCGCTGAAGGACCTGCTGCACCATGTGCGACTGTGAAAGTGTAATGGTGCGAGCAGCTCTGTCCCTGGTGATCTGCAGGCCAAGGTAGTGGCGCAGCTCACCAAGATCAGTGCAGGTGTGTCTCTTCTGCAGTTCGGACTTCACGTGTGCCAAAGCAACCCTGTCAGGGGTGGCGAAAACAAGGTCGTCAACGTAGACCAGAACAAAGAAAGGTGTGGGGCCACGACGAACGAACAGCGACGGGTCAGCAGAAGACGGCTGGAACCCAAGGTCAGACAGGGTAGAACGCAGGGTGTCGTGCCACTCACGAGGAGCCTGACGAAGACCGTAAACCGGTCGCCTCAGCCTCCACTGGGTCCTAGGAGGGAAAGAGCCAGTGAAGGCAGAGGGACGACGCAACCAGACCTCCTCGTGAAGACTGCCCTGAAGGAAAGCAGTAGAGAAGTCGAGAGAGTGTAACTCGTAGTCTCTCTGTGCTGCTACGTGTAGTAACACCCGAAGAGTGGTCATCTTCGGGGTGGGCGCGAAGGTCTGAAAGAAGTCAACTCCCTCGCGCTGACTGAAACCTCTAGCCACGTAGCGCGCCTTGAAGACCGGAGGAGATCCCGGTGGCCGCTTCACCCTGTAGATCCACATGCCGTCGACTACGTTCGCCCCCGGAGGGGGAACCTCATCGACGTAGGTGCCTGTGGATCTGTAGGAGGCCATCTCTGCGTCCATGGCAGCTCTCCACTGAGAGGCCCAAGGCCCTGACACTGCCTCAGCGTAAGTGCGAGGAGTCGGAATGTCAAGGGCGTCGGGGTCACCCTCAGGGGCGAGGAGCATGGCACAGAGATGAGGGGAAGCGGCCGCCAGGAACTCTAGCTCAAACTGCCTGTCCTCTAGGGCGTCACAGCCAAGGGCAGACACACCCCCGACGGCCAGAGGACTGGAAGGAGGAGCTGCCACAAGAGCGGTGGCGAAGTCAAGGCGGCGGGTAGAGGCAAACTCAGTGACTGCGGCAGTAAGAGCGGACACAGAGGACACAGAGGCACGAGGGTGGGTAACAAGAGAGGCGAGAACACGAGAGAGAACAGGACGGTACGTGCGGTAGTAGTCAGTGACAGGAGAAGGAAGCGACACAGTGAGGGCCGACTCAGGAGGAGACGGAAGCACAGACGGAGACGGACGAGGTGGACGAGAACAAAGGAAGGCTGTACGAAGGTCAGTGAAGGGAACAGGAGACGAGGGACGAGCACGAGGGGAGCGACGAGAGGCCCAAGTCTGAGAAGGAGGAGGAGACAACGAAGACTGAGAACGAGGGAAAACAGCGGGAGAGGGGTCAGGAGGAGGAAGCGGAGGACCAGAGACGGGAGGAGAGGGGGAGGAGGAAGGAGAGGGAGACGGGAGACCAAGGGTCCGAAGACCCGAGACAGGAGGAGGAGACGGCAGCAGCTGCTGCTGCTGCTGCTGCTGCTGCTGCTGCTGCTGCTGCTGCTGCTGCTGCTGCTGCTGCTGCTGCTGCTGCTGCTGCTTGCTGCTGCGCGCGGTTGCTGTGGCTGCTGCTGCTCCAGCGGCTGCTGCCTCTGCTGCTGCTCCTGCTGCTGTCGCTCCTGCTCCTCGAGCCGCTGCAACTCTCTCTCCTCTCTCTCCAACTCCAGCTGCTCCTCACGAGCACGGCGAACACGAGCCTGGAACCTGGTCGGGTAGGGGTGGGGGGAAGGAGTAGTGTCCGGGGCAGCGGCAGCCCCAGAGTCGACCTCCGAAGCACCAAGCACACCACCCCCAGAGGCAGCACCAACACCAGCTCCAGACCCAGGCTCTCTAGAAACCGAAGGGACACCCTCACCCCCAGACGCAGCACCCCCAGACTCCGCACCAGCACCCCCAGACTCCGCACGACCAGTACCAGCCCCCGGAAGACAAGAGTCCTCTGCAACCCGCGGCTCAGCTCCAACTCCAGCACCCCCAGAACCAGAGACCTGTACAGGGACAGTCGCAGGACCAACCTCCCGAGAGGGAGCACCTGCAGGAGGCGGCGAGGAAGACTGTGGGGAGGGAGGCTGTACAGGGGGGGCTACCGAAGGGGG